GTGGTTTTTGTTTTGTTTTGTTTTGGGTTTTTTTTTTTTTTTTTTGGGGGTTTGGGGGTTTTTTTTGGGTTTTTTTTGGTTTTTTTTTTGTTTTGTTTTGGTTTTTTTTTGGTGTGTGTGTGTGTGTGCATGTATTTTGTGCATTTTATTCTGAGGAATATATCCACGACTCTTGGTGGTGGGGTTTTTAAAAAAAAATTTGGCTCAAAGCTTCTTTACCACCTTCCTACTCTGCCATCCCTGTTGGAGATAATCATCCTGCAGCAGACTCACAGAGACACCAGGTGGGTGGTGCAGATAATTGTGCAATTAAACAGTGATTTGAAAGGAGAAAAAGAACTTAAAGACACACTGCAATTATTGAGATTCCAACTGATGCAAACATTTTATGCCATAGCTATCAGCAAATTTTCAGCAATGCTTTTATTTTACTTTACTGGGTATTCAAAGAAGCGAAGCAGTGACATTATATATCACATGTGGGTACGTTACCCACATGATACATACAACTGAAACCTGAAAAAATTAGCCCAAAATTTCCAAATAAAGCATCAGGAACCCTTTATACTTTATAATATCCTTGTATTTTAATCTGCATTTAAATTATTTTACAGTAAAATTTAACTGAATAATAAATGACTACCTAGTTACATATTATTCAGGTATATATTTAATAAAGACTGAAAAAAATCAGTTCTTTTCAGTGTTTTTATATGGAAAAATGTATCAAAAAAATCTTTACCTAGTTTGGCCTAATCTGGCATCTGTTTAATAACAGTATTAGATAAGGAGCCTCCTACCCATAGATAAAGCAACTGCATGGTTTAAGATGACATTTAGAAATGTAAAATTTATGTTGCTCTTGCCCACCATTAATTTTGTGTCAAATAATAGAAGATATTTATATTATGTTTTAGCTAACATTTAACAGGCTCATTGTAGTGAATTATTTTGGTCCTCACTGGTTTGATTATAGCAAATGGAATTGTTTGGCATGTATTTCAACATTTACTTCATGTTAGAAAAATCCAAGCTACATGCTTTCAACAGAATGGAAAAAAAAAAAAAACCAACAACCAAGTGTGTATTCAAATATGTGAATTAAATCTCCTCTCACTAACAGGGGTGTGATAGTCCTGCTAGTCCCAGCATATCCAGATAACATCTTTAAATTGATTTTAAAATATTGGACAATATTTCTCTAAATAACCATGCTTATGACTACTCTATTAGTTTAACAAAACAGGTGGCAACTTTTCTTTCAAATGGAAAGTGTGCAATAGCTTTGATGAACAAATAGTGGAACTACTCTATTAGTTTAACAAAACTGGTGGCAACTTTCTTCTTTCAAATGGAAAGTGTGCAATAGCTTTGATGAACAAATAGTGGATAATTTCCCTTTCTCTTGTTTTCTTTTAAGTGCCTCTCAGAAAAACACTTTAGGAGCTTTCTCATACATTTCTCCTGCAGGACTATTTGAGTGAGGCATTCTTAGAATACTCTGGCTTAACATACCTATGCTAAATTCACCATTAGGAATGTTATTCCTCAGGGAGAACCCATCTTGAATATCAAATATAGTTAAATTAATAGCTGCTAAATAATATCTAAGTTTGTTGAAGTTGTGGGCCTGAGTACAATTTTCTCACACTGTCTTGGTATTTGTTTTTAGCTGTTGATATACCTTTCAGAAAGAAACACACAGATATAGTTTGGTGGTTTTTGTTGTTGTTTGTTTCTTTTTCTTTATGGAACTATGCTAAGATTCTCACATTTTTCCTCTAATTGAACCAATCATATTAATTGTTTGAATATAAAACTCTGAGGTTAAATCAAGCTGTTTCCAAAATTTTCTCAATAGTTTCTATAGTTTGATTAGTTTCTGTTTCTCAAGTGAGGTAAAATCAGTTTTAGAGAATTTATCAAAACGTGTCCAACTGACATTTATGAGGTTATCCCATTACACATAAATGTTCTTATGGAACTTGGGTCCATATTAGGCCATGAGCATTCATATTTCTTTAGATTACAAATCTTGGCTATTTCATAAGAGTGTGAGTACCCACAAAAAACCTCACATTTTGAAAACAATTAACTAGCAGACCTATATTAAATATACAGGTACAAAATCTACATGGTTTCTCAATTTGAGTTCGCAGTATACACAGTGAAATTTCACACTTTTTTTAATACAGCAACAGATACAAATTTAAACTGTTAATTTACCCTCACATTTCACAAAAATAAGTATATTATATGGCCATATTTTACATAATTAAGGGTTTGGTGTTTGAAATGAAAATTATCTCTAAATGTGTCTTGCAGGGTTTTTAAAAATAATTTTATTTTCTATTCGAACTATTCATGCAGTTTTGAAGGAATGTTTTATTGCCATTAGACTTGAGGTCATTAGACTGTTTTCATGTGGTTTCAACTAACTCCTCAGTGCAACATACCTTAGAGAACTTAATGTTGAATTATGTAGAAAAGGAAGGAAAGAATTTTCTTATTCATATTCTCAGTCACACTTTAACTTAGCATCTGAGCATGTCTATAAGATGGTACTATTTCAAAATCTCCTTTTTGCAAGCAGCTTCAAAAGCTGTTTCATGGAAACAAGAAGCCATCAGAGCTGTGGGAGGGAAATATGTGATTTGTTTCCAGAGCCAAGTGTGGATAACATGTAGAGAGACTACAAACCTATACAAAAATGCAGTTTTCAACTTCCCCCAACTGCCTGCACTTCTTGAAGCTTTCAGGAACAATTCTATTAAAGAGCTACTTTAGGGATACTACTGGGATTTTATTATATAGCAGTGACAGTATCACAAATATTCATTTAAAAAATTAGAAATTTAATAACCTTTCCATGCACAAAATCACTGCCAAATTAGCAAGAATATTTAAAAAAAATCCATTGTTAATATTGGAAATAGGGTTTTCCTGTTCACAGACTGCATATAACAATAGAAGCATAACTAGTCAATAATTTGATTGCACAGGCAACCACTCACCATGTGCAAAGAGGAGAGTTTCTCTGTGTGTTTTGGAAAATGCAGATGACATATAAAACCATGTTCAGAGATTCAGAGCACCCCTCTCAAGCAAACCCCAGTTAATCTAGAATGGTCGTGAAAATTCAATAATCTCATTCTCCAATCTCATCTCCTTCTGACATTGTTTTTCTGACGTATTCTGAAAAACCCAATTATTTTTCTCTAAATCAAGTCAGTCCAGGAGGGGTTATTTGATTGAAGGGATGGAAAAACATTGTGGTACCAAACTTCAAGAAACCTTGCACAGTATTTATCTGGGAGGCAGCAAATGAACTCGTACAGTGAGCAAGTGCAGAGCATTCCATAAGGCGTACCCAGGCTCTAAGGATGAGTTTACATCCTGTTTCAAGGATCACTGGTCTAAAAATCAACATAACATTGCATCCCAAAAGTATTCTATAATAATATTTTAAAGAAACAGCTCAAAATCTTCAAGTTATTCCCTTCTGTATGAAAATCATATTTTAATTAATCAAGTGAATAGATTTTTTTCCAATATTTAAACAGTAATATTAAATATTTTAATACAAAAAAGAGGCTGACTTATAAGCTACTGTACTGTGATGAATACAGCTCCTCTTCTAGGTGATAAACCCTCCACTGTTTTTTTTATTAGCTTTATTTTTGCCCATTTGACTTTTTTATTCTCTGAATTAAATTACAAACCATTTTGACTAGATTTGGGTTTTAATTCCTTTTGATACGTTTTTGTAACATATCTTTAGGAAAAATTAATTATTATTTTTATCTTCTGAAATTAAAATATTATAATCCTTTGAAAAGTATTGTCTTGCATTCCATATGATCACTGACCATCACATTACTGGTCTCTTAAGAAATATTTATATTTTCTGTTCGATATTGCTAACAAAAAGCAGCTGATTTCTCAAATTCTTTGTATTACTGTTAGAAACCCCAAACATGTGTTTTGGTGTCACTTGAAGAATAACCTGAGATAGCTATCTGTAAAAACATTCACTTCAAATAGTCCTATATTCCTCAAGATCACAAAACATATCTGTATTACTCCTTGGTAGATGCAATTATAAAATAAGACAAAAGCTAGCATTATACCTCTCATTATAAAGTGCAGAAATTTCAATTTGGTGCAAAAGAGCTGAAATATTTAAAAATTAAAGTTAATAAATACTTTTTGTTTTGATTTTCTAGCTGAAGAGAATGAGGTGGAAAAGACCAATAATGTTTTTAATGTAACAAAGTCATTGCCACAATTAATTCAGTAAAATTAACTACATTGTTCAATTATTGCTGAAATTCTTTTACATCATTAAAATTCACAGAGGTTGCTAAAGCTCTGCTTACTGTTTGGGAAGTTCCATTAGGCAAAACATTATTCATAGTCAGATGTGCCTCTAAACACAAAGACTGATTTCATACATGCCGTCCTAATAATTTTTTCTTTTCTTTTTTACCAAGTGTCTCAGAAGGTTGAGCAAAGAGAAAACAAGAACACAGTACTAGAATATACTTTTGTTACATGTGTGAACTGCACTGTATCCAAAGGGAGCATTACATTAATACTGAGCTGAAATTATCTATTTTTATTCCTCTTTATTCAGCAGCAAAAATGACCAAGTCTGCTGATGGATTTTTTAAAAAGATATTTAGTACTTAAAGAATTCACTAACATAACACACAAAACAAAAATATTTTTATTGAAAAGCATAACTAAACTCTTCAGCTACTACATTATACATTTTCTCACAGATTTTTTCAGATTCCCTCCTGGCCAACACACTCACTGGACAGTTTTGCCAGCCTTATGTGCACTGATATTTTATAATGTATGTCATGCGACCAGTGGATAAAGGAGAAATGCTAATCTCTGGGATTAGGTATGTAATTTATTTTAGCAAACTACCAGACTGAAGTTACTCACGTTGATGCCTGTGCAGCTGTTCCTAATTCCAGCCAGGTGCTTACCTCTCTCTGTCTGGGGAGTAGTGGTCGTCTACAGCTCGGTGTCTGTCCATGCGGCTCAGGGTGTTGTAATGCGCAGCAGTGGATCGAGTCCCTCGCAGTCCCTGATCCACATTCCGACTGAGGAAAAAAAATATCACAGGCTGAGTTTTGCCTGGATGACATCCTCTCACTGGTGTCTACAAACAATTATCAGCAATCATGCTGGTAACAAGATCTGTTAGCTGACCAGACTTTTCTATGCATTGGAAATAAAATAATTTTAAATCTTACAGTAAAAAAAAAAAAATTCTCATTTAGCAAATGGTGCCAAGTCCATGATAGGGATAGAGTTTTCTTTTTTTGTTGCAATGTGTTTCTTCTAGAAATAACAGGAAAGCTTTTCCATTTCCTTCACTAAAAATGTTAATCTTGCACAACATTTCATTAGTCTTTCCAGACTTAAAGCAAAAATTCATTTCTGATGGAAACTTACACTGTAAATAATTTTTCATGAGTTCTTGATTTTGGCTTTACTATAAAGACGTAAACTGTAGTAAGACACAATGGGGACTTGTGGCTGTTAGAGTAGAGTGCAGTCTGCTGAAAACATGGTCATCTGAATTTAAAAATAGGACTGTATGTGGTACCCACTTAGTGGGTTAGTGCAGGCTTGGGTAAAGATCACCTGTACTAATTGAGACCAAAGCTTTACCTATGGATTGTTTTACTTAGTTTTTCTATCAATACCTACTGACACACACTTTACTTTTATGTGCTCTGTAAAACAAATCCACAAGAATAGGAAAATAGGAGACCATGGTTAACTGTAATAATTATTGGATAATGAAAACATAATTGTTTTGTATCGATTTGAAAATAACAAACTGGATGCTTCCTTCCACACAAGTTAAAGACCAATAAATTCTTCTGTCTCCTGTCCTTTACTGCAATCTGCTCTAGTGTGGGCCTCAGTTTCCTTTATTTTTTTAGTTTTATATCACTCAGTTTCCCTTTCCTTTCTTGTCACTTTGTCTGCCCTTTCGGTACCCGTCATACTTAGTCATTTACCACTTTCTGACTAGTGTTAACTTGTACATGTATCCTTCACAGCTGCTGCCATGACATTATTTATTTCTGCATATAAGTGCTATAAGGATGTTTCATTACACATAAACTTTTGCCTTCAACTCTACCTCATTTGTCATAAAGCATTTTCCACTCTGGCATTCATGAATCCAAATACTGGGTTTACTCTGGCTAGTAAAGAGTAACAAGAGCAGTAACAATATCTTGTCAGCTACCACGCAGTGGGACTTTGGCGGAGTTCATTAAAAAACTAATTAGGATTGAGGACTGCAAAATGGTTTCTAAAAAATAACAGCAACTTCTATGGCCCAAAATCTCCTGGCTGCAGAGGTGTCAGTAATGGGAAATCTCTGGGCATGCAGAATGCTCACTGCAGTTAGGACATCTATAGACTAGCACGTGCATAACAAATCCACCTGAACAGGGTGCAAAATGTAATTGATAATTCTTGTAGATTTCCTGAGTAGATCTGCATTTTCAGTAGAACTAAAAACGATATTTCTGTAACCCATAGCTTATACTTTTCTTCTGCAAATCCTCAAACTCTCATAACCCAATTTCCTTAGCTCAACAAGTCCTCAAAGAATTTGTTTGGTGCGTGGGCAGGGAACTATTACTCAAATAATGCATTTGATTCTGACATTGTAGGAAACAGCTGCAATAAATTCAAAACTATATTTAAAAATTTAGCTTTAGGAAAGTTAAAAAGCAAGAGATTTTGTACATGTAAAGAAATCCAAGACTACAAGAAAATTAGAAGTAGATTGTTCAATGGTGTTAAACAAGCGTTAATCACCAGCTTGGGTAAAAGTTCTGCCAAAAATGCACCCAGCATGCATGCAGACAGAAAAACATAAAATCACAAACATACACACAAAGAGATTTTGCTCATATTTATGTCTATATCCAAGACAAATAACCTCTAGAGATTCAGCATAGCAATTACTTAGGCTGAAATCAGTATATTAAAAATCAGAATAGGTCCCTTTGTGTCTACCACTTATATCTCATTTCAAGTCAGGCTGACTTGGTTTTAGATGGGTTTAGATTTCAAGTAGAAACACACAGTTTCTGCCTCTTAGCTGTATGAGATGATGGGAGATAATTTGGAATCCTAATATCTCACTAATGCAAAAGGGTATCATATAGGCTACATCCATTAGAGGAAATGGTAAGTAAAAACATAAGTAAAACATTATGAAGTCAAGAGAATTTTAACTTAACAAAAAGAACAAAGATTGTAGAAAGGAAAGCAGAACACAAGAGAGTCAGGATGTCTGAAAGAAACTGAGAGGAACATGGACCTGCCAAGGAAATATGGGATAACAGACCTTCAGTATCAAAGGGGAATTGTGAACTTTACGGGCAAAAGGGAAAACTTCCACTTTCACTTCAACTGAATTATATCATCTGGAAACCTACCCATACATAGCAACAAAAGGGCTGGAAAACAGGTTTCATTCCCATTTACATCTATCCTTCTGCTTCCTTTATATTAAGAAAGCTTATCTTGCAGAGTACTAAAACAATTATTATGTGTTATCCAAAAGTACTAGCTTTTGGAAGAAATTTCCTGGTCTAATTTTCTCAAGATAAATACTTATCAGATATCTGCCAAGATCAGGAGTTGATATCTTTCACTACAAAACTGTATGTCTGTCAGTTTATTCTTGATGATATAGAAGTATGAAAGAAATAGTAGAAAGGAAGATACTCTGGGCAGCAAGGGAGGCTCCCCAGAATCCTAATTCTACAGAAATAAAAGGGTTGAAAACATTCACTGTCATATGAATGCTAAAGAAATATCTAACTATCACATACTATAAAACACGGCACCTGTAAATAGTTCTAGGAAATGAAAATGTGGAGAGATATTTTTCTTGCCTGTACTGTACTGAATTTTGATTAAAAACTAGATATAAATAGGCAGAACTAAGAGACAATCATGTAATCATATACTAATAATAATAAATAATATAGTAATAATAAACAATAAATAACATAGAATTATATATAAATTAATATAATTTATATATTTATAATTAGGTATCATGTTACATTTTCATCTATTATTAAATTTATATATATTTATATATAGGCACATCACTATAATGTAAAATACCCATCATTAGCTTTACATAATTTTGTAAGATATAACCAATTCATTGCCATTTTGAAAGTCTGGAGATTACTTCCAGCATTGGTAGAAGATCAGTACCAGTTTAATTTACATAACTGCACAGTTCAACAAGAGTTTACCTTTGGGGGGGAGGGACACTGGGAGACCACGATCTAGTCCGTCCTATACTATCTCCACGGTGAGGGGACCCTGATCGAGAACAATGGTTAGATGACATTACTTGCTCTGGCACTGACAGTGTTGAACTTTGAAGATCTCTCCCGTTATGTCGGTAATCTAAAAAGAAATGCAAATATTCAGTGAATCTGAAGTTGCACTTTTCAACTTCCTGCCGTATCTGTAGTAGTGTGAAACTCAATAAAAGATGGGATTTGATCAAGAATGTTATCGTGTGTTCTTGGGTTTTATAGTAAAACATACTTATGTAAAGTTGACTCCTGTGATACCTTATATATGTACAACTACAGTTCCCATAGTTATACTTTAAATGTATAGAAATTAATACCATGCACCAAACTGAAGACTTACCATTTACACTTAATATGATGTATTAATAATAAAACAAATTAAACTGATTTTTCTTTATAATAAAAACCCTAATTATGGCATTTTAAATTAAAATTATATTGCAAATGTTGTGTATAATATTTTTCAAACAGAAATGTCCATAATTAAAAATTAATCCAAAATTTAGTTTACAAATTTGGGATAGGAAGCTACTGTGGAGTTAAATAATGAGATTGGATTCAAGACAGATTTGTATTTCAGAAATAATTAAAGTAACAATGAATCAATGACATCAGATTTCACTCACAATTCTGAATTTCACTCACAATTTCTTCACAAATAGCAAGAACCCTGGCCTAATCGTAAATAAGCCTAATAGAAGGCATAAATGGTCTAAGAAATGCCTCCAAGTTACACTGGAGTAGAACGCAACCACATGGACACTTAACACAGGTTTTTAATAAAAATCTGTTTAAAAAGCTGGATGTATTAAAAGTGATGGTCTTAATGTAATTGAAAAAGTTGAATTCACTGTTCCATGGTGCAATACACTCTGAGGAAAAAAAAATGCTAGATATACAGCAATTTTAAGTAAGTCTCCCCAAATTTTGTAAGGATTAAATTAAAACACAATGATAAAAAATTGAAGACTTGCAATTGTTAACCTGATTACAATGCTTAGCAGGAATAGGTCTTCAGAGAGTTCCTGGTGGCTATGACAATTGATATAACTGATTTCTTTGTTCCAAAGACAGTAACCAAGAGAAGAATACTTAGAGAGATCCACCCGGCACTGGAAAAATTCTTGCTCATACAACTGTTATACTTTTCCCATGAGAATCTTCCAAGAGTAGAATAATCTTCTGCTCATGATTTTCTTATTTTTCTTCCTGGAAAATGTTCATTAGGACCTAAACAAAACCTTATTAATTCATTCCACTTTATGGTTCCAAGTATGTTCAATACTTTCAACTGAGTACTCATATTCACTGCACGGCCTTACAACCAAGGATATATATAAACAATCCTAATTTGTAAACAACTTCTTCCCCCTATGTTTAGGTGTAAACTGCCTTTTGTGTATCTGGTATGCATACATGGGGGGGGGGGGGGGGGAAGCACATCACCATCACATTCCACTAATATAATGATGCTGAGGATGACATAGTCTCTCCTCACTACACCACAGTCAAATCATGTAATGTGTATCTAGCTAATGAAGTCAGTAATGAAATACTGACTTTTATCCTACATACAAAGTAAATTTATTATTATAAGCACTGTCAAAACATATAGGGGCCAGTGCAACATAATTCTGAGATCACCAAAGGCAAAACAGGGGATATTTGATCTGTGTTTGAAACAGGGTGTTATTTATCTCCTACACTAAAGTGTAGGAGATAAATATATTTTATCAAGTCAGTCTGGAAATCAATACACTCTTCAATTCTGCAATTCTTTAACCAGACGTAAAAAAGCTAAAGTAACAGCAGTGGAGAGCCCATCCTGCAGCAGATCAGCAGCCCATCCTGCCCATCCTGCATCCTCCTGGCAGGACCTGTGGACTTGTGGAGAGAGAAGCCCACCCTGGGGCAGGTTTGCTGGCAGGACTTGTGACCCAGCCTGGAGCAGTTTTCAGGGGCTGCAGCCTGTGGGAGGGACTCATGCTGGAGCAGTCTGTGAAGAACTGCAGCCCATGGAATGAACCGACATTAGAGAGGCTCATGAAGGACTGTCTCCCATGAGAGGGACCTCAGTCTGGAGCAGAGGGATAGACTGAAGAATTCTCCCCTGAGGAGGAAGGAGTAGCAGAGATAACATGTGATGAACTGACTGCAACCCCATTCCTGTCTCCCCGTGCAGCTGAGAGGGAGGAGGTAAAGAACCAGGGGGAAAGTTAATACCAGAGAGAAGGAAGGGATGGGGGCAAAGCTTTAAAATTTCAGGGGGTTATTTTCTCATTATCCTACTCTGATTTTATTGGCGATAAAATAATTTCTCTGGTTGTCTGTTTTGCCCATGATCATAACAGGGAGTGATCTCCTCCTGTCCTTATCTCCACCCCAAGTCTTCAGTTATATTTTCTCTCCATGTCCAGCTCATGAGGGCGGTGATGCAGCAGTTTTGGCAGCCACTTGGCACCTAGCCAGGGTCAATCCACCACACATAAATGAGCAGCAAGTTATTATAAACTTCTAGATAGTGAAATAAAAAAACTCCATTATTTACAGTACAGGAACAGTAAGAAATATTGTCTTATTATCCTAATAATGCATATCTATTGACAGAAAAGATAGAGATGGTTCTTTGTATTCTCCATACACAAGGATAACTTGTTGCATTTGGAGATGGAAAACAATGTAGAGTAGTAAGATGAAGAAATAAGTAAATCCTTTGAAAAATCAGCAGTTTCTATGTACAGAAGTATGTACCTCAAAATGAGGGGAATGAGCAATACTGTAAGATTTGCTAGGTGAATAAACACAATGAAGGGCAAAGTAATCGATTAACAAAACACGAAAAAAACCCTCCTTTAGAATTCTAAAAAATGCTAAAAAAGACTGAAAAACTTCTAGAAGTGAGAACAAGTAAATCAAAATTACTGAACTTATTAAATCTGCACATAGAAACAAATTAATTACTTTGGAACAAAAAGCCTTTTCCAGCTTTAATTTGTTATTGTAGTCGACCAAATGAGCAGTATTGTTGCAATAAATCAAAATATATGACTTTGTAATTAATTGTCAAGTCTAATCCTGATCAAATATGTGCTTTACATTAATTTTGAGGTAGTCATGCATTGCTTTCTGGTAACTAACAATGGTACTGCTTCCTTATGACAATAACAAAGGCAGAAACAATCAGCATTCCTAGCAATTTAGGTAAATTTTGATAAATTTTTGCTATTTTTTTTTAAGAAAACTAGAGGGTTTTTAGCTGTGATCAAAGAAATAGATTAATGTTGTCTAATAATATTATTGCCAAAAAAATTGCCATGCATAATTCATTTGCCTTAAACAAAGATAATTATATTTACAAACTTCTCTTTTTCCAACAGGTCACACATTGAAAAGCAACTGTTCAAGTAAGACAACCCACTAACTTGGGTTAATGAGGTAATTTCAAAGTTATCCTTCAGTTTTGTAGAGTTAATGTAGCTCTGATTTAACTGCCTGTACTGTAGGTATAATTTAACTTCCAATTTTAAAAACTATTGCACATCCTGGAAATAAGGTTAGAGAAGTAAAAAACACTTTCTTGAAAGAAATTATAGACAAAAAAAGACAGGTCATAAGGGCAGTTTGACCAATGAGTTGCTATTGATCAAAGCAGATATTTATAGCAGTAGTAAAAATAGGATAAACATTATCCTGCTTGCAGCTATAAATATTGAGTCATTACCATAGAATCAAAGGCTCTATAACTATGGCAAGCCTCTTAAATCAACGTAGAGAGTACACAAAACCTGATAATCAGTGTAGAGATAATCAGTGGTAACTGTGAGCTGCAGACACCTAAAAGACAGACACATGACAAAGACAACTGCAAGGCCACCACCTTCTTTTGTCATGGGAAGGTTTCATTAAAAACTGACACATATGAAAAGAGGGATTTTACAAAGCACACTAAATACAGCTTCTTCAGACCTGAAGTTTTAGTTTTATCCGATTTAAGAGAGACTACTAATATATTTGACTTAAAATATTAATCCACACAGTATCGCTGTACTGTGCTAATATTATGCTATGCAGGTTACATGTTCAGTAAATACTGATGATTGAATTGTTATTAAATTATGAATCTCTCGGGTCAAAATTGCAGAAAATCACAAACTTCCAAATATTAGGTTCACATCAACATCCCTAAAATAGCCCTGAAAAGAATTAACGGAAGTGTACTAATGAAGATTTTAATTTAGACGCCTTGCTGCTTGATTTACTTGAAAGAAACTCTTAGTATGAAAACCGTTCTAGAAAGGCAGTACTGGAATGGCTGCTCATCACAGGCAACGTAATTGACTTGTTTCTGACACTGATGTTAAGTGATTTTTTCTCCACTTTAACATCTGTATTTGATTGAAACATCAAGCTTTCAGATATTTAACTTTTTAATAGTCACAGTGGTTGGGCTTTGAACAAGCACTAATTAAAAACAATTATATAATCAAACTGCCAGAAATGCTTAACATACCAACATTTCACATATGGGCACTTTACCGAGAGTTCAGTTCTTTCATACAAATATGCTCAGCTTCTGGGGTGATTTGCACATCTAAATGAAGAAATTAGATGTCCTCTAAAAAAATTGCTGACAGTCACTGATCAAATAAATTGAATTATTGATATCTGAATACTTTATAAGTTGGAGATACATTATGAATTGCTTTGGGGAATTTTTTTTGTATTAAATATTATTCTGCAAATGTGGGAAGAATGAATGTACAGTAAAAGGAACCAGTAAACATTACAGCAGGAACAACTGGTTACTTGCTGCATAGCAACTCAGTTCCTCACAGGTATATTTAGCTCTACAGCACTAATTGTATTTATGGGCCCATTACACTTGAGACAATTCTTTTCTTATGGAAAAGCATTCCCACACAGTAACCAGAGCTTGCTGAGCTTTCAGTGCTTGATATGCAAAGCTTGGGGGAAAAAACCCCAAACCACCACAGGTACTATAAAGATGTTTCTTCTTAGTTAAGCGCTCATCCATGTATATTTGCATCTGTCCAGCAAGTCCCCTCAATTAGCCTCATCTTCACACTG